TGCTTGATACATCTGCTGGTTCAACACATCGTTTGGGTTCTCAGCTGCCACTAGCTTCAAATCCGGGTTGACTGGTGTGCTGACCGCCTTGCAATCGTGCATTTTGTACCGTTGTAAAATCTTCTCTGTATACGAGGGCTGCCCGATGCAGATTACTCCAGCCAGTAAATCTTGGATGATCTTTACTCCTAGGAAGTAATGGAGTGTTCCTAGGTCTTTCATCTCAAATTTGAGACACAGCTCTCGCTTTACTGCATTCATTTTCGCTTCGCTTCTCCCTCCAAGTATTATGTCATCTACATAGACAGCCACCAGCAACATCTCTCCTCCTGAATCTGTATGAACGTACAGACAGGGCGTTGGCTTGAACTTCATTTCTCTGAGTTGGCTGTCAAGTGCATGATTCCAGCAATGTGGAGATTGCTTTAGTCCGTAAATGCTGCAGTTGAGACAGCAGACTAGATGCTTCTTCCCTTCTTCGACGAATCCTTCAGGTTGTTTCATATATACCTCTTCGGTGAGTTCTCCATTGAGAAAGGCTGTAGATACATCCATCTGATGTAGGTGCAGCTTGTGTTGAACTCCAAGGGCAATTACAGATCTGATAGACTCGAACCGAGCAACGGGGCTGAACGTCTCTTCATAGTCGAGCCCATACTTCTGGCTATATATCCTTGGGCAACCAGGCGGGCTTTGTAGCGTTCCACGACTCCATTGGCATCGACCTTGCGTTTGAAAACTCATTTGCTCCCAATGACCTTCCGACCTGGAGGTGGGTCTACCAGCTTCCTGACTTCATTCCGGCACAGAGACTCCATCTCCTTTTCCATTGCTTCCACCCACCTGGCACTGTCGGAGGTGGACTTGGCTTCTGCCGCAGAACAAGGGTCCTGCTGTTCGGTTGAGACCAGTGTCAATTGGTCACTGTACCGTTCTGATTTCTGTCTGACACGAGTCGATCTTCGTAGACAAGTCACGGAGGTCGGAGTGGGTGCAGGGGGTTTGTTCACAACTGCCGATTCTTCCTCGGACGTCTCATCTGGTTCGCGGTTCTGATCTGGTTCACAATTTTGAGAATTTGGGATCTCTGTTTGTTTGACACTTGGCTCCTCCCCGACCTCAAGCTCCACATACTTGTGAGAGGGTTCTATCTGAGCCCCAGCCATAGAAGTTTCATTGAACACGACATCTCTGCTGTGGATAATTTTCAACCGCTGTAGATCATAGAGACGGTAGCCTTTCTGGTCAGACCCATATCCAAACAGTACACACTTTCTCGTTTCGAGTCAAGCTTTTGTCTTTCCACCTTGGGCACATGGGCATAGGCACTACATCCAATTATGCGAAGATGTTCCACATTTGGTTTGGAACCGCTCCATGCCTCATGAGGTGTGACTCCCTCTAGTGCCTTGGTTGGACTACGGTTTCTGAGTACACCATTGTTGAGAGTGCCTCAGCCCAGAACCGATGAGGGAGTTTCGAATCAGCTAGCATAGTACGCACACCCTCTATCAGTGTACGATTGAGCCTCTCTGCAATCCCATTCTGTTGTGGAGTATGTGGTGTTGTCCGTTCATGTTTGATTCCTTCATTGGCTAGGTATGAAGTAAACTCTCTGGAAGTGTATTCGCCTCCATTGTCGGAACGGAGAGTCTTCACCTGTCTTCCAGTTGATCTCTCTACCTGGGCCTTCCATTCCTGGAACCGGGCAAACACCTCATCCTTGTGCTTTAGAATGTAGACCCAGGCATGTCGTGTGTGGTCATCAATGAAGGTAACAAAGTATTCACCCCCGCCCAGCGATCCGGTTCCAATCTTCCCGCACACATCACTGTGCACTAACTCGAGTGGATGATTTACCCTTGTTTTGACGGAGTGTTTAAATGCCAGCCGGTGACTCTTGCCTTTCGCACAGGATTCGCAGAACTCTGGTTGTTGCTTGGAGTCAATATCCAATCCACTGACCATTTAGTTTTTGGCCAGTGCTTCCATTCCTGCGGTTCCCAGATGGCCAAGACGACGATGCCAGACAGTTCCCATAGCGCTGTTGCTCAGATACGCACGATGAGTAGATCCTCCGTGATCTAGATAGTATAGACTCCCTTTTCTGTGTCCAGAGGCAACTAGCTTGGACTTGAAATCTCTTATTTCACACCCCACTTGCGTAAATGTGGTCACCTTCCCTCTCTTGGACACAGCAGTTATGCTGAGTAGGTTGTAGGCCAGGTCGGGAACCAAGAGTACATCATGAAGAGTGCAGGTCTTCGTGTTGCCTTGGGGTAGATTCATTGTCAGGACTACGTTTCCACGTCCAGTGGCCTTGAGATCACGACCATCTCCAAGGGTGACACTTAGAGGAGGAGACAAGACTTGTAGGTCATTGAACATCGACTGCTTGTTGCACATGTGGCACGTCGCTCCAGAGTCTAGAATCCACTCGCCGTTTATCCTTCCGTCAGTGGACAAGGCATGCTGTACCACAAGCCCAGTACCCTCGCTTTCAGTTGAACTCTCATCTTGTGCTGTGATGGTCACTTAGAACGCTCCTACTTTTCCCTTGCCCTTTCTCTTGCTCTTTGCCGACTTCCCTTGATCTTTGACCTTTGCGTACTCTTCACAGTCTTTCTTGAAGTGTCCAGGTTTCTTGCAGAAGTAACATCTCTTGATTCGAGTAGTGAGTGCCGCCCCTTCCTGTGAGCTTGTCTGTTTCACTTTAGCCTCATGATGCAGTAAGCGTTCCATTACTACGTCCAGTGGAGGAACTTCCGCGTTAGCTTCTAGAGCAGTTACTAATACGTTGTAACTCTCGGGTAGACTCGCTAGAAGATAAACGACACGATCCTTATTGTTCACAGGCTCACCGATTGCGGACAGCTCATCACACACCTCGGTCATCGACTTCAGATGGTCTTGCATCGAGCTTCCTTCTCATAGCCTCATAGAAAAGAGCCTCCGTTTGAGATCCAGCTTATTTGCCCACGTCTTGCGTTGGAATTGATTTGCCAGGGCCTTCCAGACTTCTACCGAGTCTGTCGGATCAGGGCCAATTACATACTGGAGGCTAGGGTCGACAGCTAACACAATAGTCGCGAGAACTCTGTCCTGTCTAGCTTTAAACTTTGCTAGTTGCTCACCTCCCTCAGTGTAAGCTTCTTCGGTTCCGTTTACAATTCCCCAAAGTCCTTCCCTAACCAGTGCCATCTTGCACTGCACCTTCCATGTGGCGTAGTTCGTGCGGTTCAGCGGCACAACGGCCAGGCCCATAACCTGTTGGCTTTCAATAATATTATTTTGCCGAGTGAACCTTACGATAAAACACACACGGCCTTATAAGAGAGTAAAATCAGGTGATTAGTTTCTAGAAGGTTCTAGAACAGTTAGTGATGAATGATTACATAACTGTGAACAGTACTTGCACATGATAACATACAATAGTGTCTGCTGAGAGTGTACATCCAACAATTCTTGGGTGTTCGTCTAAGACATGTAATGAAGCCATTAGGAGGGATATGGGGCTTGATACGTTGCTTGGTGAGCAGAGGGAAGCAGGTGTAGATGAGGGGACAATGCTTTTGCCAAATGGTGTTGCAGCACTACCTAGAGCATCACTGAAACTCTCTGTGCGAGGACGAGTGTGCGTTGATCCTGTTATCATGGGCACATTTGGTGGATCGTGAAGGCTATCATGAGTCTTTGCTATAACCATTCATGCCCAAAGACGCAGTTGTGGTCCAGAATACATGGATCCATGCTTTTCCTTAAGTTGCATAAAAACTTGCTCAAGTTCCTCCTCTTGCTGCCCTCTTGTGTGATATATTCACAAGTGTTTCTTCATCACTTACATCAATTTCTCTGCCATCACACCATAAACTGACACGTATTTTCCCCAGAAAATGTGTGTATATACATCGCATCAAGATCTTGCCGTGTCATGAGCCATTTCTTTGTATGCTGCCTTCCATCGAAGTACCCCACAATATAATCTCCCTCATCCGGGATAATATCACCAAACTCGTTCCATAATGCTGACTGAAGAGATGAAACAGACTCAAACCTTCTCATAACATTTTGCAGAAACTTCACCGAAAACTCTTTTCGCTTCGCTGCCTCAAACACTTCGACTTTGTACGTGGAGTGCAGCTGTTTCTGCAAAATAGACCTATTTTTAAGTAATGCGCACCACGTGTTTTCTAGGTATCATTCGTATCTATTTATGTACAGCCAGGGCCTAGCATCTACTTCTTCGCCACAATTAGCCGACACATTGACCACCAACATTAAACATACGGGTATTCTTATCCATAATTATCCCAACAATGTAGCAATATTATACACAGCCAAAACTGTAAAGCGTCAAGTCCGGCGGCGAGCAGGCGACTCAAACCACTGATAATACGCATGCCCAATTTCGAACAGGCGGGCAAGTTTCAACCCGCTTCAATTGTAAATAGCCCACCCATCAATTAAGCGGTACCGCGCATGTGCAGTCCGCTGAGGGTTTGCACTTCAGTGCTTTTCATTTATCCTTAACCTTTGGTTGCAATTTGTAGTCAGTGATCTTGTAACTTTTTTCAGTCGGCTTAAAGCCAACGATATTTTATCCATAACCTTGGATTGTTAACTGTAAGATAAATTACGTGCATACACATCGAGGGGTATGTTGCTTGTGTATCAGGATGTCTGTCCAGCTGTCTGTCTGTCACTTTCTGCCACAGCATGCAAAAGTCCAATAGATTCAGGGCTGTTAATGTGGCTATTTTAGTTAAACTGCTGTCGAATGAAAGCAAATTAACGTTGGCTTACCTCAACTAGATTCTGCCGGTTTTGTGTACTCTGGAGGCATCAGAAATAACAATGGAGTGCGAGTGTTAGGTCCTAAAATGCATATAACGTCTATCTGTACATCTTTGACAGACTCTCAGCAAGCCGCAAGAAACCATGCATGGATGGACGGTTTGCACTTTAGTTCTTTTCATTTTAAGCACTTTTAGGGTATTCGTGGGTTGTGTACTGGTACCTTTCTGCCTTTCCAAGCTAATCGAAACACACGGCCACTTTTATTAATATGCAGGAATATGGAGATAAGCCTTTGCGTGTTAACATTGCCAGCAGAGGACGTGGCCGTGGAAGAGGCAGGGGAGCTGAAAGAGGTATTCCAGATTCCCATACGCTTTTGTCATTTTGATCATAAAAAGCATTTGTAGCCCAGTTTCAATGTACATATGGTAGACCACAGAGCTAAGTACACTAACGGATGCAGCGCTACACTAGCTTGATTTTAAAATTGGCCAACTTTCATAAAAACAAGTTATATCACGAAAACCAACTGAACAAGCCAGTATGTAAATTACAATGCCCTACCTCGACTGCATTCTTCCTTTTTGCGTACTTTAGAGGAATCAAAAATCGCAATGGGGGGAGACCGCGTGTAAATCTACAGCCTAGCCCAGCCCATCTACTAGCAGTACAGACCTGTGCATGAAATGCATATTCTTGATGTGCAACAGTGTCCAGTTTGCCTAAAATTTGCACTTTACTGCTTTTAATTTTGTGCTACAATCAGTCCTCGTAGTGTCTGAATATTATTATGACCCAGGGGCTGTTCTGAACTACAATAATTGGCTGTTAACGTGTAAGTGTAGTTATGACGCGTTCTGTACATCATGGCACCCCAGGCGCAGCAAGCGAGTCACACCCACAACTTGAAGCGTGGAGTTGTGTAACTGAAGCCAGTGAGTGAACCCGCCCAAACCCACCCCACTCATACTGGGCTACATACTAGTTTCTACAGGCCAGTTGTGGCTGGCTTGCGATTATACGCTGGAGTGTGGGATTTTTACCCAAGGGTGTGTCAACCCTGACCACTAATATGTACAGAGTTTCATAGGTAGAAAACCCAGTAAGACCGTCCTGTAATCATTAAATTCTGAGGCAACCTATGCGAGTGACATTGTCACACCTACTATATCAAAACCTCCAGTAACCACATTTCACTGTTCAATGAAAAGAGAAAACAAACTAGAGCTCTGGAGAGCATGTATCCCGCGTGGTATTGAGTATATGATTTAGGCACATATGAAGAAGACACAGTAGGTGTGTTTGCACGTTGATGACCTAACGTTTTTAGTTTAATTTCTAGCCATTGTGCCCAGTGCCATTGATTCCAAGCATAGTGGCGCCAGGTTTTTTGCTGTTAATGCCGCAGTCATTCAGGATTTTTCAGGCTCGCGTAGTTGTGAAGCCATTGGTATCGCTCATCGCTCATAGGGTGCCTCGTAGCCTGTAGTGCCAGAATAAGCGTTGACAAACAGACCAAGTACTGTAACCCTCGCCGTGCATACGCACCGAGGATTAAGCAATTAGTAACATGCCTATAGTTGGTTCAGGCCGAGTAGTCGCAAGTACTCCGCGCTAACAACTTCCGCATAGAACGAGCTATGAAAATATTATTCCACTGAATTCCTCTCACCATTCCGAGTCCTAAAATATGCATTACGTCGCGCTGTGATGCTTGGAAGAGAAAACAAACTATAGCTCTGGAGAGCATGTATCCCTGACGGCATTCTGACACCACCTTTCATACCATCAGTTGCCTGATCAAGCTCTACCCATGTACGATCCTTTCCATCATGGGCATTAGCCCAGGTTTCGTCTAAAAAACAACCGGACGATTCTCCCTTCTGTTCTTCCTCATTCTTCTTAAATACTTGTGTCGCCACTCAATTATTCTTAGCTGCTCATACACGTATCACTTGTCATTAACCCTCGGCGGCGCGCATGCGCAGCGAGGGTTACAGTACTTGGTTTGTCCGTCCGTCTGTCCGTCTGTTACCACGTTTTCTGCCACCAGGCTCGACAAACAGGTAAAATAGCGACACCAATGGGTTCAGCGCTACACTGGCTTCATTTTTGTAAAAGTGCCGCATTCAAAAATTATGGCATGAAAACCAAGTGAATGAAAAGCACTAAAGTGCAAACCCTCGGCGAACTGCGCATGCGCGGTACCTCTATTTGATTGGCTGGGCTTATTAGTCTGCGTTTACTCGTGATCTCCCGCTAATAGATCACGGAGAGTCTGACGCGGGCTAGTAGATAGCATGCAGGAGTCGATACACGCCCTTCGTTGTAACTTCTTGTACTTCCGAGGTACACAGAGCAAGCGGTGCTAATTAGCATATTGGCTTGTTCACTTGGTTTTCACGCCATAACTTCTGAATGCGGCACTTTTACGAAAATCACCATTTTAAAAATCAAGCCAGTGTAGCGCTGAACCCATTGGTGTCGCTATTTTACCTGTTTGTTGCGCGTGGTGGCAGAAAACATGGTAACAGACGGACAGATGGACAAACCAAGTACTGTAACCCTCGCTGCGCATGCTCGCCGAGGGTTAACAAGCCAATATGCAAATTAGCAAAGACTTACCTCAACTGGGTCCGCTTGCTCTGTGTACCTTGGAGGTAGAAGAAGTCGCAACGAAGGGCGTGTATCGACTCCCGCATGCTATCTACTGCTGTAGCTAGCCCGTGTCAGACTCTCCGCGAGCTACTCTAGCGAGTAAACGCATACTACAAATAGCCCAGCCCATCAATTAGCGGTACCGCACATGCGCAGTTCGCCGAGGGTTTGCACTTTAGTGCTTTTCATTCACCTTTCTGTAATTAAATCCTCTTTTACACAATAGCTTCCACAAAGTAGTGCCATGGCCAGTGAACAGACCTTTTCCCTTAGTGCACTTGATAGCTTCTTCAACGTTGGGTACCCTTTCCTTTCATAATACTCAGGTGGCTGCGTGAATTGTACGCCTTATACCATCCGTATCGAAATTGTCTACTACAACACATACCTGCTGGCCTTATATCTCTTAGCTCGCTTTATGGCTAAAACACGCTCAACTGTACGCACGCTATACCCTGTGGCCTGAGCCGTTTTAGTAGACAACTTTGCAGGAACACGAGCCTTACTCTTCTTGTGCTTCTCCTCAAAGAAAGCGTATACGTTGCAAATGACGTTTTTGGTAGTCTCTGTCCCTTCGGAATGCCGTCTCTCCCTCTCAGTCTCTCTCCCAGTCTCGCGGCAAAATGGCGGTAGCTACTGTGCTCGCACTACCCGTCCGCTTTCCGCATTCCCTTTCCCACAAATACATGCTAATTGTTTATATAACTTACTACAGTTGCTTCTGCTAAACCGGATCCGACTTCCCAACGTGAACCAACTATAAGTAAATGTAAAATAACAGCTCACGCTTTACTTACATACTATATAGAAAGAAGGAAGAGAAAGAAGTGTGAGAAAATGACCATTATCACGTTTAATTGTGACATTTATATGTATAGGGATAAACCCAAGTTATTTTGAGCTTGTATCCAAATGACTGTGGCAAAAATAGCCGGGCTTGCAGTAGGAAGAAAGCTGGCTGCTAGCAAGTGCCATGCGGGGCTCAAAAACAAGCCATTGCAGCCAGTACTGGCAAGCTTGTTGGGTCAAGTTTTGCTGCAGGCATGGCCAAAGCATACTTATCATAATTTTTTGCTCACACATCAGGCTTTCATGGAGGTTCCCACCAGCAACATTCATCAGAATCAACTCATGGAAGTTTTGGCGCTCCTTTCAGTTCACAGAGACATGAAAATACAACTGGTTTCCCTGACAAACAAGAAGGAAGAGGTGGGAGCCATGGAAGACGAAGGGAGTATCCTGCATCAAAATATGAAGAATTTAAAGAGCCTGATCCAGGTTACATTTTAAGTGTATACATTATTTTTTGCCAACAACAAGTGTGTTAAATGTCACTTTATTAACATGAACGCCATTTAGCGATTTTGGCTCTCAATGCTTTTACTTCTGGTGCCATGACTTTATTATTAACTCACTTATTGTTTACCTAAAATAAAGTCACTTTGTTAACAGGGGAGTTGAGAGTATTGATTGCTTTTACATCTTCTGTACAGCATTTAACTGGCTTGTACATAGTACAATACATAGCTGAGGTCTTGAGTACCGGAGGCATTAAACTGCCCATTACGAACTCAGTAAGCAACTTTTCATTCAGCGCAGTATGAGCGGGCAATGCCAGGGGGTTGAACACACGTCATTTATTCCTGCATAAGGCAATGCAATTTTTGCTGAGCCAGCAAACTCTCCCTCCGTGGAGAATGAATGTATGGCAGAAACAAAAGTAGTGCTGACAAGCCAAAACCTGAGAAGTTGTAGTTGAATATTTATTGACAAGCGCCGGAACCCCACCCCATCGCATGTTCTTAGCGAGTTGCACCTAAGAGATATATATATTATGTATAGAAGCTTCGTGGCACTCACAGTGTACACGTATTTCAATCCTTTTTTTACAACTCTGCGAGATTTCAAGGGCATCTTCCAACTTTAGCATGCAAAGGTGAACGAACGTCAACGCCTGCATTCCTGAAAAGGTTAATTGAAATTCTTTGCAATTCCAATTCACGTGATCTTGTCCAACCTCTGGCCAATGCCTTTAATACACTCACACATTGTTCTGTGATGGCACATTGTTCTGTTATTGCATTTTCTACCACATTTGACAACAAGCCAAGAGTTTAGTGCTAAACAGGCTTGATTTGATTTCCGTAAAAGTACTTGAGTCGTGAAACCCAAGTGAATGTACAGGTTTACATCGACCGCTGTTTTGCGTACAATTGTCATCAAAACACTGCGTTCAGAAGTTAAGGCGTAAATACCAACTGAACAAAGGAATATCAATATTACAGCTCACTCACCTCGACCTGTTTGCATTTTGTGGAGGCATTAAAAGTTATAACAGGGGTCGAGTTCTGAGTCTGACATGCTATTTACTAATGTAGCTAGCCTGTGTTAAAAGGCTAGCGAAAGACCATGTGTAGCCAAATTCATCATTTAGCAATACTGATCTGCACATGTGTGTGTGTGCAATGGACCACACTTGCACCGTTTTTAGTCTGCCAAGGGTTGGCACTTTAATGTTTGGTCTTGTATTGCAGAGGAACGATCACAACGGCCAAGATTGAATTTGAAGCCCCGCACAGTGAGAGACCCTGTAAATCAACTTGCAGATTCTGCTAGAAGAATGGCTATATTTGGACAGGGAAAACCTCGAGAGGAGCGTAACGTGCCAGATGATTCTCAGGAGCAGCCTAGCGTACAGGAAAACACTTAGTGGACTAGTAGGATAATTATGGTTTTCTCTATATTGTTATGTTTTTTGAGCAAAGTGAAGGTTTGGAAGTTGCAGTAATATTATCAATTACTGTAATTGTTTCCTGGGCCCGAGTGCCACGTGCCACATGGGATATGTTGGCACAGTAATCCTGCCGATTAAGGATGAATATAGGGAGGGAGACAAAATAGAGATGGAGCGTGGTTTACAAACATTGATTTGGAGTTGTATCACAATGGATGATGGTTACATCTTCCAACTGACATTTCTTGCTCATGTAAATTTACTCCACACACGCCCTTTATTGTCGCCACTCTTACTAGTGAATGATGTAGTGTGAAGACTGGCAAAAGGATTCTGTATAGAAGGCAGCATTGTAAAACTGGTTAGTTGAGCGAACATTTAAGTCATAGTCTTGTCTTGTCTCCTTGGTGAGCAATATAATTTTTGGGGCATAGTTCTTTCACCCCCAAAGTACATAAGGGTACCAATTTTCATTGTTAGAGGACCCAGCATATGCAAGTTATAGGCAAAACACCATTTAGAAGTTATTGCCTGAGGCTGTTCTTTCAACTTGTAATTTCTCAATGTTACCATGGTACATCAATATACCAAGTTTCATTGTTAGAGGACTTACCATAGGCACAAAACACCATTTACAAGTTTTTATTGCCCGAGGATGCTTGTTGTTACAAACTTGTAATTTCTGTTTCGATGAACTCCTACCATGATAAATCAGTGTACCAAGCTTCATTGTTAGAGGCCCTGAAATATGCAAGTCGTAGGCACAAATACCATTTTCAAGTATTTATTGCCTGAGGCTGTTTGTTGTTGTTTACAAATTTCTACTTTATGTTTTCAATAAGTAAGTAAGTAAGTTTCACCTCCATGCGTGCTACAATTAGCAAGTTTGAGGAGTGAAGAAGTAATTTAAAGAAAATTGCCTGAGGCCTTTTTGAACAATATGTGGTCGTCATGGAAACATGTAATCGTCATGGAAATAATATAGTAGGCATACGCACCAAGTTTCATCTCTATGCGTGCTACAGTTAGCAAGTTTGTGGAGTGAAGAAGTATTATTTAAAGAAAAGTGCCTGAGACTATTTGTTGTTGTTAGTTTAAAAACATGTGTTGTTGTGATTTTGATGTTGGCTATTGAATCCATTATCACTAAGTACGGTAGTACTTAGTATACATGCCAATCCCTATATACTAAGTACTACCGTACGTAATACGGAAGTCAGTGCTGTGCGCGTAATAATGGTACGAGGGGCGTGGTCGAGATAGTCATATATGACGGTTAACGTTGGTTAACCGAGGTTCGAGCCGGCCGCGATGCGCGCATGCGCCTGGGCGAAAGGGCACGTGGTCGGGGCAGTAGTTTGGTAGGTGGAAGCTCCTCTCTGGCGTGCTCGTTTTTTCTTTCTTTTTCTCTCCATCCCTTCGGGGGTATGATCCGGACTGGGTTTGGGCAGGGGTGGAGCCGGAAATGGAATGACTCCACCTCCAGGAAGAGGGAAATCCCCTTTGCCACGCCCCTCTCGAGCAGCAGAGCCCAGTCCTTTGGCCAGCATCCCTAATGAGGGCTTAGGCCTTCATGCTAAGGGCTGAAGGGGGTTGGGTGAGGGCTGGGTTGTCTTATCGGTGAGGTGAGTTAACACGCGCACAGCACGCGCTTCCGTACATTATTGTATGCGTGGGCGATTCAAAAAGGCGGCGACCAGGAAAACCGGCGTTCAGAACGGAAGAGAGGACGAGAAGCTCGCGCCCTTCCAGCAGCGGTTTGTGTCACTGTCTAAGTCGAACTCCGTCTACGAAAGGCCGCCGAGGGCGTCATACCCGCAAAGCGTACGCTAGTCCGCGGATATAGTTCAAAAGGCGGCGGCCAGGAAAATCGCAAGTTCAGAACGAAAGAGAGGACTAGAAGCTCGCGGAGCGCCCTTCCAGCGGATCAACTGGAGTGTACGGACCCAGCGCGTAGCGACTTCCGGCGACTCGCAAATCACTCGCAATCGTGTGCGCCTGTCCAAGTAAGGCCACGCCCACTCGATGCCGCGTCAGCAAGCCAAGAAAAAGCATGCAGGGTTGGATGACCGCGAAGGCTCCGCTGTCTACGCAACCTACTGTTCCCCAAAATGTCCCCGACTTCCGTGGACTTAGACCTCCGTGGAACAGTGTCGTTGTGCTGTGAAGTCAGTCGGAACCTAGCCCTGGACCAACGCCGCCTTGGTTTGTAACAGCACCGACTTTACCCTAGTAAGTGTACATTTGCCCTAGTACGAGAAAGAGCGCCGACCTACATTCCGCTCCTGTTAGTTCGACTGAAGATCAACTGTCGTTGTGCTGGGGGGGAGCACAGTCGAACTAACCAGAGCGGAATGTAGGCCGGCGCTCTTTCTCGTACTAGGGCAAATGTACCCACAGCCGACCCTGCCATCTTTCCTTTTTCTTGGCTTGCTGACGCGGCATCGAGTGGGCGTGGCCTTATTTGGACAGGCGCGCACGATTGCGAGTGATTTGCGAGTCGCCGGAAGTCGCTACGCGCTGGGTCCGTACACTCCAGTTGATCCGCTGGAAGGGCGCTCCGCGAGCTTCTAGTCCTCTCTTTCGTTCTGAACTTGCGATTTTCCTGGCCGCCGCCTTTTGAACTATATCCGCGGACTAGCGTACGCTTTGCGGGTATGACGCCCTCGGCGGCCTTTCGTAGACGGAGTTCGACTTAGACAGTGACACAAACCGCTGCTGGAAGGGCGCGAGCTTCTCGTCCTCTCTTCCGTTCTGAACGCCGGTTTTCCTGGTCGCCGCCTTTTTGAATCGCCCACGCATACAATAATGTACGGAAGCGCGTGCTGTGCGCGTGTTAACTCACCTCACCGATAAGACAACCCAGCCCTCACCCAACCCCCTTCAGCCCTTAGCATGAAGGCCTAAGCCCTCATTAGGGATGCTGGCCAAAGGACTGGGCTCTGCTGCTCGAGAGGGGCGTGGCAAAGGGGATTTCCCTCTTCCTGGAGGTGGAGTCATTCCATTTCCGGCTCCACCCCTGCCCAAACCCAGTCCGGATCATACCCCCGAAGGGATGGAGAGAAAAAGAAAGAAAAAACGAGCACGCCAGAGAGGAGCTTCCACCTACCAAACTACTGCCCCGACCACGTGCCCTTTCGCCCAGGCGCATGCGCGCATCGCGGCCGGCTCGAACCTCGGTTAACCAACGTTAACCGTCATATATGACTATCTCGACCACGCCCCTCGTACCATTATTACGCGCACAGCACTGACTTCCGTATTACGTACGGTAGTACTTAGTATATAGGGATTGGCATGTATACTAAGTACTACCGTACTTAGTGATAATGGATTCAATAGCCAACATCAAAATCACAACAACACATGTTTTTAAACTAACAACAACAAATAGTCTCAGGCACTTTTCTTTAAATAATACTTCTTCACTCCACAAACTTGCTAACTGTAGCACGCATAGAGATGAAACTTGGTGCGTATGCCTACTATATTATTTCCATGACGATTACATGTTTCCATGACGACCACATATTGTTCAAAAAGGCCTCAGGCAATTTTCTTTAAATTACTTCTTCACTCCTCAAACTTGCTAATTGTAGCACGCATGGAGGTGAAACTTACTTACTTACTTATTGAAAACATAAAGTAGAAATTTGTAAACAACAACAAACAGCCTCAGGCAATAAATACTTGAAAATGGTATTTGTGCCTACGACTTGCATATTTCAGGGCCTCTAACAATGAAGCTTGGTACACTGATTTATCATGGTAGGAGTTCATCGAAACAGAAATTACAAGTTTGTAACAACAAGCATCCTCGGGCAATAAAAACTTGTAAATGGTGTTTTGTGCCTATGGTAAGTCCTCTAACAATGAAACTTGGTATATTGATGTACCATGGTAACATTGAGAAATTACAAGTTGAAAGAACAGCCTCAGGCAATAACTTCTAAATGGTGTTTTGCCTATAACTTGCATATGCTGGGTCCTCTAACAATGAAAATTGGTACCCTTATGTACTTTGGGGGTGAAAGAACTATGCCCCAAAAATTATATTGCTCACCAAGGAGACAAGACAAGACTATGACTTAAATGTTCGCTCAACTAACCAGTTTTACAATGCTGCCTTCTATACAGAATCCTTTTGCCAGTCTTCACACTACATCATTCACTAGTAAGAGTGGCGACAATAAAGGGCGTGTGTGGAGTAAATTTACATGAGCAAGAAATGTCAGTTGGAAGATGTAACCATCATCCATTGTGATACAACTCCAAATCAATGTTTGTAAACCACGCTCCATCTCTATTTTGTCTCCCTCCCTATATTCATCCTTAATCGGCAGGATTACTGTGCCAACATATCCCATGTGGCACGTGGCACTCGGGCCCAGGAAACAATTACAGTAATTGATAATATTACTGCAACTTCCAAACCTTCACTTTGCTCAAAAAACATAACAATATAGAGAAAACCATAATTATCCTACTAGTCCACTAAGTGTTTTCCTGTACGCTAGGCTGCTCCTGAGAATCATCTGGCACGTTACGCTCCTCTCGAGGTTTTCCCTGTCCAAATATAGCCATTCTTCTAGCAGAATCTGCAAGTTGATTTACAGGGTCTCTCACTGTGCGGGGCTTCAAATTCAATCTTGGCCGTTGTGATCGTTCCTCTGCAATACAAGACCAAACATTAAAGTGCCAACCCTTGGCAGACTAAAAACGGTGCAAGTGTGGTCCATTGCACACACACACATGTGCAGATCAGTATTGCTAAATGATGAATTTGGCTACACATGGTCTTTCGCTAGCCTTTTAACACAGGCTAGCTACATTAGTAAATAGCATGTCAGACTCAGAACTCGACCCCTGTTATAACTTTTAATGCCTCCACAAAATGCAAACAGGTCGAGGTGAGTGAGCTGTAATATTGATATTCCTTTGTTCAGTTGGTATTTACGCCTTAACTTCTGAACGCAGTGTTTTGATGACAATTGTACGCAAAACAGCGGTCGATGTAAACCTGTACATTCACTTGGGTTTCACGACTCAAGTACTTTTACGGAAATCAAATCAAGCCTGTTTAGCACTAAACTCTTGGCTTGTTGTCAAATGTGGTAGAAAATGCAATAACAGAACAATGTGCCATCACAGAACAATGTGTGAGTGTATTAAAGGCATTGGCCAGAGGTTGGACAAGATCACGTGAATTGGAATTGCAAAGAATTTCAATTAACCTTTTCAGGAATGCAGGCGTTGACGTTCGTTCACCTTTGCATGCTAAAGTTGGAAGATGCCCTTGAAATCTCGCAGAGTTGTAAAAAAAGGATTGAAATACGTGTACACTGTGAGTGCCACGAAGCTTCTATACATAATATATATATCTCTTAGGTGCAACTCGCTAAGAACATGCGATGGGGTGGGGTTCCGGCGCTTGTCAATAAATATTCAACTACAACTTCTCAGGTTTTGGCTTGTCAGCACTACTTTTGTTTCTGCCATACATTCATTCTCCACGGAGGGAGAGTTTGCTGGCTCAGCAAAAATTGCATTGCCTTATGCAGGAATAAATGACGTGTGTTCAACCCCCTGGCATTGCCCGCTCATACTGCGCTGAATGAAAAGTTGCTTACTGAGTTCGTAATGGGCAGTTTAATGCCTCCGGTACTCAAGACCTCAGCTATGTATTGTACTATGTACAAGCCAGTTAAATGCTGTACAGAAGATGTAAAAGCAATCAATACTCTCAACTCCCCTGTTAACAAAGTGACTTTATTTTAGGTAAACAATAAGTGAGTTAATAATAAAGTCATGGCACCAGAAGTAAAAGCATTGAGAGCCAAAATCGCTAAATGGCGTTCATGTTAATAAAGTGACATTTAACACACTTGTTGTTGGCAAAAAATAATGTATACACTTAAAATGTAACCTGGATCAGGCTCTTTAAATTCTTCATATTTTGATGCAGGATACTCCCTTCGTCTTCCATGGCTCCCACCTCTTCCTTCTTGTTTGTCAGGGAAACCAGTTGTATTTTCATGTCTCTGTGAACTGAAAGGAGCGCCAAAACTTCCATGAGTTGATTCTGATGAATGTTGCTGGTGGGAACCTCCATGAAAGCCTGATGTGTGAGCAAAAAATTATGATAAGTATGCTTTGGCCATGCCTGCAGCAAAACTTGACCCAACAAGCTTGCCAGTACTGGCTGCAATGGCTTGTTTTTGAGCCCCGCATGGCACTTGCTAGCAGCCAGCTTTCTTCCTACTGCAAGCCCGGCTATTTTTGCCACAGTCATTTGGATACAAGCTCAAAATAACTTGGGTTTATCCCTATACATATAAATGTCACAATTAAACGTGATAATGGTCATTTTCTCACACTTCTTTCTCTTCCTTCTTTCTATATAGTATGTAAGTAAAGCGTGAGCTGTTATTTTACATTTACTTATAGTTGGTTCACGTTGGGAAGTCGGATCCGGTTTAGCAGAAGCAACTGTAGTAAGTTATATAAACAATTAGCATGTATTTGTGGGAAAGGGAATGCGGAAAGCGGACGGGTAGTGCGAGCACAGTAGCTACCGCCATTTTGCCGCGAGACTGGGAGAGAGACTGAGAGGGAGAGACGGCATTCCGAAGGGACAGAGACTACCAAAAACGTCATTTGCAACGTATACGCTTTCTTTGAGGAGAAGCACAAGAAGAGTAAGGCTCGTGTTCCTGCAAAGTTGTCTACTAAAACGGCTCAGGCCACAGGGTATAGCGTGCGTACAGTTGAGCGTGTTTTAGCCATAAAGCGAGCTAAGAGATATAAGGCCAGCAGGTATGTGTTGTAGTAGACAATTTCGATACGGATGGTATAAGGCGTACAATTCACGCAGCCACCTGAGTATTATGAAAGGAAAGGGTACCCAACGTTGAAGAAGCTATCAAGTGCACTAAGGGAAAAGGTCTGTTCACTGGCCATGGCACTACTTTGTGGAAGCTATTGTGTAAAAGAGGATTTAATTACAGAAAGGTGAATGAAAAGCACTAAAGTGCAAACCCTCGGCGAACTGCGCATGTGCGGTACCGCTAATTGATGGGCTGGGCTATTTGTAGTATGCGTTTACTCGCTAGAGTAGCTCGCGGAGAGTCTGACACGGGCTAGCTACAGCAGTAGATAGCATGCGGGAGTCGATACACGCCCTTCGTTGCGACTTCTTCTACCTCCAAGGTACACAGAGCAAGCGGACCCAGTTGAGGTAAGTCTTTGCTAATTTGCATATTGGCTTGTTAACCCTCGGCGAGCATGCGCAGCGAGGGTTACAGTACTTGGTTTGTCCATCTGTCCGTCTGTTACCATGTTTTCTGCCACCACGCGCAACAAACAGGTAAAATAGCGACACCAATGGGTTCAGCGCTACACTGGCTTCATTTTTGTAAAAGTGCCGCATTCAAAAATTATGGCATGAAAACCAAGTGAATGAAAAGCACTAAAGTGCAAACCCTCGGCGAACTGCGCATGCGCGGTACCTCTATTTGATTGGCTGGGCTTATTAGTCTGCGTTTACTCGTGATCTCCCGCTAATAGATCACGGAGAGTCTGACGCGGGCTAGTAGATAGCATGCAGGAGTCGATACACGCCCTTCGTTGTAACTTCTTGTACTTCCGAGGTACACAGAGCAAGCGGTGCTAATTAGCATATTGGCTTGTTCACTTGGTTTTCACGCCATAACTTCTGAATGCGGCACTTTTACGAAAATCACCATTTTAAAAATCAAGCCAGTGTAGCGCTGAACCCATTGGTGTCGCTATTTTACCTGTTTGTTGCGCGTGGTGGCAGAAAACATGGTAACAGACGGACAGATGGACAAACCAAGTACTGTAACCCTCGCTGCGCATGCTCGCCGAGGGTTAACAAGCCAATATGCAAATTAGCAAAGACTTACCTCAACTGGGTCCGCTTGCTCTGTGTACCTTGGAGGTAGAAGAAGTCGCAACGAAGGGCGTGTATCGACTCCCGCATGCTATCTACTGCTGTAGCTAGCCCGTGTCAGACTCTCCGCGAGCTACTCTAGCGAGTAAACGCATACTACAAATAGCCCAGCCCATCAATTAGCGGTACCGCACATGCGCAGTTCGCCGAGGGTTTGCACTTTAGTGCTTTTCATTCACCTTTCTGTAATTAAATCCTCTTTTACACAATAGCTTCCACAAAGTAGTGCCATGGCCAGTGAACAGACCTTTTCCCTTAGTGCACTTGATAGCTTCTTCAACGTTGGGTACCCTTTCCTTTCATAATACTCAGGTGGCTGCGTGAATTGTACGCCTTATACCATCCGTATCGAAATTGTCTACTACAACACATACCTGCTGGCCTTATATCTCTTAGCTCGCTTTATGGCTAAAACACGCTCAACTGTACGCACGCTATACCCTGTGGCCTGAGCCGTTTTAGTAGACAACTTTGCAGGAACACGAGCCTTACTCTTCTTGTGCTTCTCCTCAAAGAAAGCGTATACGTTGCAAATGACGTTTTTGGTAGTCTCTGTCCCTTCGGAATGCCGTCTCTCCCTCTCAGTCTCTCTCCCAGTCTCGCGGCAAAATGGCGGTAGCTACTGTGCTCGCACTACCCGTCCGCTTTCCGCATTCCCTTTCCCACAAATACATGCTAATTGTTTATATAACTTACTACAGTTGCTTCTGCTAAACCGGATCCGACTTCCCAACGTGAACCAACTATAAGTAAATGTAAAATAACAGCTCACGCTTTACTTACATACTATATAGAAAGAAGGAAGAGAAAGAAGTGTGAGAAAATGACCATTATCACGTTTAATTGTGACATTTATATGTATAGGGATAAACCCAAGTTATTTTGAGCTTGTATCCAAATGACTGTGGCAAAAATAGCCGGGCTTGCAGTAGGAAGAAAGCTGGCTGCTAGCAAGTGCCATGCGGGGCTCAAAAACAAGCCATTGCAGCCAGTACTGGCAAGCTTGTTGGGTCAAGTTTTGCTGCAGGCATGGCCAAAGCATACTTATCATAATTTTTTGCTCACACATCAGGCTTTCATGGAGGTTCCCACCAGCAACATTCATCAGAATCAACTCATGGAAGTTTTGGCGCTCCTTTCAGTTCACAGAGACATGAAAATACAACTGGTTTCCCTGACAAACAAGAAGGAAGAGGTGGGAGCCATGGAAGACGAAGGGAGTATCCTGCATCAAAATATGAAGAATTTAAAGAGCCTGATCCAGGTTACATTTTAAGTGTATACATTATTTTTTGCCAACAACAAGTGTGTTAAATGTCACTTTATTAACATGAACGCCATTTAGCGATTTTGGCTCTCAATGCTTTTACTTCTGGTGCCATGACTTTATTATTAACTCACTTATTGTTTACCTAAAATAAAGTCACTTTGTTAACAGGGGAGTTGAGAGTATTGATTGCTTTTACATCTTCTGTACAGCATTTAACTGGCTTGTACATAGTACAATACATAGCTGAGGTCTTGAGTACCGGAGGCATTAAACTGCCCATTACGAACTCAGTAAGCAACTTTTCATTCAGCGCAGTATGAGCGGGCAATGCCAGGGGGTTGAACACACGTCATTTATTCCTGCATAAGGCAATGCAATTTTTGCTGAGCCAGCAAACTCTCCCTCCGTGGAGAATGAATGTATGGCAGAAACAAAAGTAGTGCTGACAAGCCAAAACCTGAGAAGTTGTAGTTGAATATTTATTGACAAGCGCCGGAACCCCACCCCATCGCATGTTCTTAGCGAGTTGCACCTAAGAGATATATATATTATGTATAGAAGCTTCGTGGCACTCACAGTGTACACGTATTTCAATCCTTTTTTTACAACTCTGCGAGATTTCAAGGGCATCTTCCAACTTTAGCATGCAAAGGTGAACGAACGTCAACGCCTGCATTCCTGAAAAGGTTAATTGAAATTCTTTGCAATTCCAATTCACGTGATCTTGTCCAACCTCTGGCCAATGCCTTTAATACACTCACACATTGTTCTGTGATGGCACATTGTTCTGTTATTGCATTTTCTACCACATTTGACAACAAGCCAAGAGTTTAGTGCTAAACAGGCTTGATTTGATTTCCGTAAAAGTACTTGAGTCGTGAACCCAAGTGAATGTACAGGTTTACATCGACCGCTGTTTTGCGTACAATTGTCATCAAAACACTGCGTTCAGAAGTTAAGGCGTAAATACCAACTGAACAAAGGAATATCAATATTACAGCTCACTCACCTCGACCTGTTTGCATTTTGTGGAGGCATTAAAAGTTATAACAGGGGTCGAGTTCTGAGTCTGACATGCTATTTACTAATGTAGCTAGCCTGTGTTAAAAGGCTAGCGAAAGACCATGTGTAGCCAAATTCATCATTTAGCAATACTGATCTGCACATGTGTGTGTGTGCAATGGACCACACTTGCACCGTTTTTAGTCTGCCAAGGGTTGGCACTTTAATGTTTGGTCTTGTATTGCAGAGGAACGATCACAACGGCCAAGATTGAATTTGAAGCCCCGCACAGTGAGAGACCCTGTAAATCAACTTGCAGATTCTGCTAGAAGAATGGCTATATTTGGACAGGGAAAACCTCGAGAGGAGCGTAACGTGCCAGATGATTCTCAGGAGCAGCCTAGCGTACAGGAAAACACTTAGTGGACTAGTAGGATAATTATGGTTTTCTCTATATTGTTATGTTTTTTGAGCAAAGTGAAGGTTTGGAAGTTGCAGTAATATTATCAATTACTGTAATTGTTTCCTGGGCCCGAGTGCCACGTGCCACATGGGATATGTTGGCACAGTAATCCTGCCGATTAAGGATGAATATAGGGAGGGAGACAAAATAGAGATGGAGCGTGGTTTACAAACATTGATTTGGAGTTGTATCACAATGGATGATGGTTACATCTTCCAACTGACATTTCTTGCTCATGTAAATTTACTCCACACACGCCCTTTATTGTCGCCACTCTTACTAGTGAATGATGTAGTGTGAAGACTGGCAAAAGGATTCTGTATAGAAGGCAGCATTGTAAAACTGGTTAGTTGAGCGAACATTTAAGTCATAGTCTTGTCTTGTCTCCTTGGTGAGCAATATAATTTTTGGGGCATAGTTCTTTCACCCCCAAAGTACATAAGGGTACCAATTTTCATTGTTAGAGGACCCAGCATATGCAAGTTATAGGCAAAACACCATTTAGAAGTTATTGCCTGAGGCTGTTCTTTCAACTTGTAATTTCTCAATGTTACCATGGTACATCAATATACCAAGTTTCATTGTTAGAGGACTTACCATAGGCACAAAACACCATTTACAAGTTTTTATTGCCCGAGGATGCTTGTTGTTACAAACTTGTAATTTCTGTTTCGATGAACTCCTACCATGATAAATCAGTGTACCAAGCTTCATTGTTAGAGGCCCTGAAATATGCAAGTCGTAGGCACAAATACCATTTTCAAGTATTTATTGCCTGAGGCTGTTTGTTGTTGTTTACAAATTTCTACTTTATGTTTTCAATAAGTAAGTAAGTAAGTTTCACCTCCATGCGTGCTACAATTAGCAAGTTTGAGGAGTGAAGAAGTAATTTAAAGAAAATTGCCTGAGGCCTTTTTGAACAATATGTGGTCGTCATGGAAACATGTAATCGTCATGGAAATAATATAGTAGGCATACGCACCAAGTTTCATCTCTATGCGTGCTACAGTTAGCAAGTTTGTGGAGTGAAGAAGTATTATTTAAAGAAAAGTGCCTGAGACTATTTGTTGTTGTTAGTTTAAAAACATGTGTTGTTGTGATTTTGATGTTGGCTATTGAATCCATTATCACTAAGTACGGTAGTACTTAGTATACATGCCAATCCCTATATACTAAGTACTACCGTACGTAATACGGAAGTCAGTGCTGTGCGCGTAATAATGGTACGAGGGGCGTGGTCGAGATAGTCATATATGACGGTTAACGTTGGTTAACCGAGGTTCGAGCCGGCCGCGATGCGCGCATGCGCCTGGGCGAAAGGGCACGTGGTCGGGGCAGTAGTTTGGTAGGTGGAAGCTCCTCTCTGGCGTGCTCGTTTTTTCTTTCTTTTTCTCTCCATCCCTTCGGGGGTATGATCCGGACTGGGTTTGGGCAGGGGTGGAGCCGGAAATGGAATGACTCCACCTCCAGGAAGAGGGAAATCCCCTTTGCCACGCCCCTCTCGAGCAGCAGAGCCCAGTCCTTTGGCCAGCATCCCTAATGAGGGCTTAGGCCTTCATGCTAAGGGCTGAAGGGGGTTGGGTGAGGGCTGGGTTGTCTTATCGGTGAGGTGAGTTAACACGCGCACAGCACGCGCTTCCGTACATTATTGTATGCGTGGGCGATTCAAAAAGGCGGCGACCAGGAAAACCGGCGTTCAGAACGGAAGAGAGGACGAGAAGCTCGCGCCCTTCCAGCAGCGGTTTGTGTCACTGTCTAAGTCGAACTCCGTCTACGAAAGGCCGCCGAGGGCGTCATACCCGCAAAGCGTACGCTAGTCCGCGGATATAGTTCAAAAGGCGGCGGCCAGGAAAATCGCAAGTTCAGAACGAAAGAGAGGACTAGAAGCTCGCGGAGCGCCCTTCCAGCGGATCAACTGGAGTGTACGGACCCAGCGCGTAGCGACTTCCGGCGACTCGCAAATCACTCGCAATCGTGTGCGCCTGTCAGTAAGGCCACGCCCACTCGATGCCGCGTCAGCAAGCCAAGAAAAAGCATGCAGGTGGATGACCAGCGAAGGCTCCGCTGTCTACGCACCTACATGTTCCCGCCAAATGTCCCCGACTTCCGCTGACTTAGACCCTCTCCGTGGAACAGGTCGTTGCTGCTGCTGTGAACGTCAGTCGAACCTCGCCCTGGACCAACGCCGCCTGGTTTGTAACAGCACCGACCTTACTCCTAGTCAGAAGGTGTAGCATTTGCCCCTAGTACGAGAAGAGCGCCGACACTTCCGCTCCTGTTAGTTCGAACTGAAGATCACTGTCGTGTGGCTGTGAGCACAGTCGAACTAACCAGGACGGCGGAATTGTAGGCCGGCGCTCTTTCTCGTACTAGGCAAATGTACCACAGCCGACCTGACTGCATCTTTCCTTTTTCTGGCTTGCTGACGCGGCATCGAGTGGGCGTGGCCTATTGGACAGGCGCGCACGATTGCGAGTGATTTGCGAGTCGCCGGAAGTCGCTACGCGCTGGTCCGTACACTCCAGTTGATCCCTTCCAGCAGCTGTTTGTGTCACCGTCTGAGTCGAACTCCGTCTACGAAAGGCGCCGAGGGCCTCATTCCCGCAAAGCGTACGCTCGTCCGCAGATATAGTATATACAGTTCGTGTGATATAGTACAGTTCTGCGCGATATAATTTAAAAACTGTTCTGTATGATGAATATTATACTGGCGGCGCCTTTGATTCGCCCACGCAAAATACAATAATTAGTGATAGGGATTGGGCTATGATAGGGAGTTTGGTCATCTTCTCTCCTCCTCAGATGCAACACCCATAACTCAAACGAACAACAAAACAGCATGAATTTTGTGAAGAATGTAGATAAGTCGCATCACCCCAGAAGAGACTGGTCATACTCATTCTTTGGCAACAACAACAAATAGCCCAGACATACATATACATATAATGGGATTCCACATGTGTCAGTATAACTCACAAATAGTAGGGGCTATGTGAACGAAACTTTGTAGTTCAATCACCAACATTAAAATTACAACAATACATGTTTGTAATAATAATAACACTCAGGTGGCTGCCATAGCACTTGGGCCATAGACCACGCACCCAGAGCAATGGGCGGAACCGTTAACACACGAACATACACCATATGAACATGAGGTGCCTGTCTCACCTCCCAGACACCTCAACTCCCCAGACGCAATCTGAGACTGGGTTTGTTGTACACAGGGACTATCGCCGTATAACCTAACCTTTCTTAGCTCCCAAACATCCAAAATAAAATCTTTAACAAGGCCAAGCAAAGAACCAAATTTATCCTCCCACAGTTCACTACCCAATATAAAGGATGCTTTCCTGAAACTATCAAGCGACTGGAAATGCTCAAACCCATCATCCCCAAGCTTCCCCTGCAGGGTAACTAAGAAATTGCTCCTAAGACTACTATATGCTGGACACTCCCACAACACATGACTCACACTTTCACACTCATCATCACACAACAGGCACTCTTTCACCCCCTCCCTCCCCCTATGCCTGCCCAGTTCCTCATTTAGCCCATGCGTGCCTGACCTGAACTTAAACATTAATCTAGACCCAGCATCACTTTTCCCATGCAAGTACTTTTTGAACTCTACCACCTTGTTAAATGTCTTATACAATAACAGCTTTACTTTGCTATTTAGCCCCTCTTCAAACTTTCTAATCTCCCTCTCATTGATACTGTCCCGTATTATAGACAAAAAGCCCTTCAAGGAGCAATCCCCATTTTGAATATCATGCAACCACTCTGCCTTGTCAAGACCTAATGACGAAAAGAGATCATCAATGACCTTACTCCAACCCTTCCTCTGCCTGCCTCTCCGTGGCTTAAAATTCCATTCCTGATTAAAAAGCTTCTTCGGATACCTATTGCCTGGCAATGCCGCTAACTTATACCACCACTTCAACTTATTCTTATCCCTACGCCCTTGTAACGTATCAAGCCCCATATCCCCCCTAACGGCTTCATTACATGGAAACGATGTTACACACGTGCGTACCAAGTTTCATCTCCATGCGTGGTACCGTTAGCGAGTTTGAGGAGTGAAGAAGTAATTTAAAGAAAATTGCCTGAGGCTATTTGTTGTTATTTACAAACATGTATTATTGCGATTTTGATGTTGGCTATTGAATACATTGTGTATACAAACTTCGCTCACGTAACTCTTACCAATTGTGAGTGACATTATAACTCCCATTATAACGTATTGCCCATTATAATGTATTGCCTGGGGCACTTTTGTTGTTGTTTACAAAGTATGACGTTGCACAATCCGGTATGTCCCGAGTATACGAAGTACATAACATGTTTAGTGCAGAGCAAATCAGCTCCGTATAAGCACACAGCCGCGTTTCCGCGAGAAAGAGACGAGAGCGCAAGACCGTCATCCCGTGCGGGACTATTGAACGCCGAACGCTATGGTACGCTGCTCCGCCGCTCTAGCTACTCCCGCTGCGGGACTTTCCCCCGCCACTCATCCGAAGAAACGCGACAGGAGACCTGCGCGAACCATCGCAATCAGAGAGTGGAGAATTCAGGCGCTGTGCGGGCTGCTAGCGTTCCCCGTAGCTTTGTCGCGCGCACTCGCTCGCGGAGCCCCACCCCCTTATTTGTGTGCGTGCGGTTGGTTTGTGGGCGGGCGTGAGCTGCCTGGCTATCTACTATGTTATACATGGCAAGGAGGGAGATGGGCTCAAAGCAGACACAGAAAACTGTCTTGTGGAAAAAGAAAATCAAGATATCACTTATTTTGATCATGTTTTGCGGGATACATTTCCTACATGAAATGCTGTTGAACTTGTTGGAAAAAAAACAAGGTTTCATATCATGTTTTCATGTTACTTTTGTTAGCTCACGAGGTTCATATGAGAAATCAGAAACCTCCTACTAACAAATCTGATTGGTCGATTCGAATCAGCTATGCACTAAAATGCTACTGTATGTACCATGTCAATCCCTATAATATACTGTGATCACTAAGTACGGT